CATATAGTATATGGCCTTTTGAGATAACCATTCACTTATGAGGGACACTTCCAGGGTTTTTTGCTACTTAGATAAGGCTGCTATGAAACTTGTATAACGAGATTTCCAAATGAATAGAACTGTCCACTTGTCTGGGATAAATATCCAGGAGTGCAACTAAGTAGATTTTAACTTTTGGGGAAAGTGCAGCATGTGTTTGGGTCATGTTTTTCCCCCTACAGGTATAGGGGTACAAAAGTATAAGTTTCCTACTTGGCCTCCACTGACACACTTGAGGGCCCAAACAAGTGTACCTCATAATCTTTGGTTGGTGGGAGTTCTAAATAGGCCTCTGCTGTCACCTGTATGCAGGAAAGAAGATACTTTTTATGTTCCCCATGTGACTTCAAATGAAACCTTGATGGTGAGGTACTTATTACTACTAGAAGGGGTGAAAATCTTGACTTCCCACTTGGGAGTTCTAACACCACCCCAGGGCTGAGAGGTGAGAAGGCATCTCATTGCATCCAGTTGCAAGTAGATGTCTGGGTTTCCCCCTTGGCCTGGACTGATAGGAGAGGGTGGGTCTGCAATGTTCTCTGTGGCTTTGGTTGTGGGGTGGTAATAGCTAGGCTGCCACTTGCTGGATAAAGCCATTTCTGTGCTTTTCTGCTTGCTTCCTCTTCCCTTCGCTTCTTTGGTTTGGTTTGCTATGCTTCTGGATTATGGATTTCTCTAAGGCTATGATATATGAAACAAAAAACAAACCCAGATAACTCACTGCTGTGTCATTCCTCAGATCTCAACATCCTTAGCTAGTCTGCCTTTTCTCCACCTTTCAGGCTTATATTGGTTGTACACAATGTTCAGGGGTTTTAGTGGTATTTAGCAAGAAGAATTGGACGAAATTTACCTATTTCATCTTCATCTGGAACTAGAAGTCTAACAAAGGGCTTTGAGGTGTTCATTTCTCCTCTGAAAACATCAATTCTCACCTGGTGCGGTAGCACACAACTCTAATCCCAGTGCTTGGAAAGCTGATACAGGAAGATTGGCCAGTCTGGGCCACATGGTGTGTTCAAGGCCAGCCAGGACTATGTACCAAGACCCTGTCTCAAAATAAATAAACAAATAAATAAATCTGATCATGTCACTCTTGTCATAGTGTTTTACTGTACAAAGGATAAAATTCCAACCCCTTGTCATGGACATTTAAGGCTTTTCACTGTCACATCGCCAGTTAAAACAGCCATGTTTTCTGTGGCTCTCTAGCAAGCATATGTACTCAGCAGCTAGCAGGATGGCCCCTTCATCATTTCTTCAGTGTCATGCTTTTACCTATGTGTGTTTTGCACATGCTGTGCATACGTAATCAGTGGGACCCACCTTTCTCCTCCTTTATACCTGCTGTGAAGCCTTCTGAGACTCTCCCAGACCCTTTGATCCCACTGATCCCTTCTCTGCCACCACCGCAATGAGTATTCCTCTGTCACCTATTTCTTGTTTCTGTTCACCTCTTCCCCACTGCACTTTGAGGTGGACTTTGTCTTTACACATCTTGGTCCCATCCAACTGTAAATTCTATGAGATCAGGAACTCTGCCTATCTCATCCATCATTGTATCATCAGCTTACTAGCACTGTGCCTAGCACATAACTGACACCCAACAGATCTTTATTACTTGAGTAAATGAATGAGTTATTGCTTGCAGATGCAAGAACAACCCAAAATCTACAGCTTGTGTGACCAGGCTATGTGTGGCTACCCTACTTTCATATACTCTTTTTTATTTTTCTGCTGAGCAAGGTGACTCTAGGAAATCAGAATACTTTTAAACATTGTTCCCCATCCTCTTCCTCCTTTCCTCAGCACTGCCTGCTTTCAGATTGTCCTCTTATACACCTGCTGCTGATGTCTTAAGCAGGCTGAACATCCCAGAACAGGGCTGCCCTGCTGATTGGCTGAGAGATCACTAACATTCATTCTTCGGGCCATTGTTGAACATCAATTCTGTCTCCCATAGAGTGAAGCCCCCATTTTTGACTAGTTACATCAGTGGTGGGACTCTGTTTCCCAAACATCGCAGAATTTTAGCTTTTGTTGAGAAAATCCTTTTGGATACATGGTCTTCTTGTTTATCTTTTGACTATGTTGGCTGGGAGAAAGTTAACAGTAACTTTTCTTGGTGAGATTTCAGCATCTGATCTTTAAGATAATAACATCTTCTTTCATTTTCCTGATACTTTGCTCAACCCACCCATACATCCTTATCAAGAAGACCAAATTATTCAGCATGTTATTACAGTGCTGTCAAGTTGTATACACACACACACACACACACACATAAACATGCGATATTACAGATTTTGCCAATCAAACCTGATCTGTTATACCCATTGACTCTTTGTAGAAGAATAGTGATCCTTTGACCCCATGCCTGTCCTGTCACACCCATTGAATTTTAAGGACTCTGATCCTTTGATTGCTATATCTACTCTGTTGTACCCATTAAATCTTTAATGACTGTGATTCCTTGGCTCCTCTATTTTGTTTTCATTTATTATGACCATTAATTTTTCTCAGTTGTAGTCAATATCTGATCTTAATACTATATGCATACAAAATAATTGCTCTGCTTACTAAACCAACTTATAGGACCAGACACTTTGGCACTTTTTTCATATGCATGAGTTTTAATTCTTACATCCACTCTGCAAGGCAGACAAGGGAACTGAGGTTCAGAGAAATCACAAGTGAGCTAGAACTGGCTTTGTTCATCTCAGTATATGACTGCTTCTCAATAAAAAAAAAAAAAAGCCCTAATATAAAATTCCTTCTACCATGCGCGCGCACACACACACACACACACACACACACACACAATTATGCTATTTTCTATTTTGTAAGGCAGAAATGGGAAGAGGAAAATGTGCCCAAAGATTGATTCTCATATGTGTGGTGTAGTTTGGGGTCTGCTACTTACTCTCACAGCATTTGTTCTCATAGACTTTCTCTAGCATTTGGGTCCCTTTGTTCCTTTGTAAAAATAAAAATCAAGGAAGCTGCTTGCTGCCATGTCTAAAAAGGCCTACACACCTGACTACCCAAAAAGTCTACCTTGGACAGTGAAACTTGCTAGTAGAAACTAGTATTTGAAGGGTAAAAGGACCATTGACTGTCAGCCTTCCTTCTCACATGTGTCTGGTTCCAAACTATATGGTAAGCATTATAGAATGACAAATTAAAGAATAATGTTAAGACCTGTGGACCTTTCCCTTTGGTATCTGACGCATAGCCTTTTCTTTCCATCCTTGTTTTCCTCAGGTACTGTCTGTATCCCCCAGAGTTTAAGACGGTGGTGAAGAGGGATGCCAGACAAGGCAAAGGTGAATCAAAAGTGGAGAGACAGAATTAGCGAGTGAAACAAACACCTGAACCGTGATATACCTCCCTGTCACTCCCATAAGAAGCAGGAAGCAGCTCACCTACAGACAAGTGAGAAAGTGTTCCAATATAGGTAGATGCGTCCCAGCTGCTAACCTGGCCCTGAACAGGGATACCTGGCTGGGATCCACAGGAAGGAACTGGACAAAGCAAGGACTGTTTCAGGACTGGCCCTGCTCCCGGCTGCTTGGTGGCATGTGGTGGAAAACAGTCGTACCACCATGGGGAATCTGCTTAGTGTCTCTCGGAGCTGCAGTACCAGGCTAGCATGGTCCTCTGAGAGACACGGACACGGACACAGCTTCTCTGAAAGGGCATGGAGATTCAGCAGTAGTGACCCTCACTCTTTGGCTGCTTTGTCTAAAAGGGAAAGACTCACAATGCACAAAATTAAAGACTGAATAGCACCACCAAAAGCCTGGAGTGGTCACTTCCCGTCCTCTGGTGATGTCCACCTGTTTTGTGTAGCATCAGTTAACTACAGTAGCTTCCCTGGCTCATGTGTATTCCAACCTGATCTTCTCTTTTAGTCCCTTTGAAAAAGGAGCTGTCATGCTGTGAGGCCAGTTCTCTCCTCAAGTGTATTTTCTGTCCTCTAATGGAGTATACGTGGTGCTATTCACCCCAGAGCTGGTTCATCACAATCCTTGGACAATGGGCATCTCCTGGGATTGTCTTGATCAAACCAGAACATAAAGTCACACTACACATTTAGACTGTGCCTCTCTGACTTCTAAGAATTAAACGTGTATGCATCTGGGCACAGTGAACGTTACAGTTAAAGACCTGATGTAGAGAGCCAATACTCTGCCTTTGCTGTTCCAGCACTCCACACTTTACATAACCTGGTGCTCCCACCTCCTGTCCACTGCCTTTCTTCTTCCTCTTTTCCTTACCCCTGTCCTTGACTCGTTGCACTGTATTTCTGGCACCAGACCCATTCGCCCAACAGCTGGCATTAACTAAAGATTTTACAACTCTGCTTACCCCTTTTTAGCTTAATTCTAGGGTTGGTACCAGCCAAGCCCATTATTCTAGATCCTCACCTGAGTGAAGCTGTTGCTGCACTTCCCTGTCCTTGCTCTAAGGCCTGGGCACTCCTACAAGTTAGGAGTAGGGTGAGGTCAAGGCTGACACCTATTTGCACAGATACGTTCCTATATTACCCAGGATTAACAAGTGTACTTTCCTTTCCACCCTTCTGTGGTTTGTCCTTGGGCCCATATACGAGAATCTCACCACATCTTTTTATAAGTGGAATCCCACCCTGAAATTTTCACCCTCGACGAAGTCACTTTTATGAGCGCCCAGGTCCCTTCCCGGTACCTAGCTCTTCACTGCCTCCTAGCTGCTTGCCCCCAGGAGGGAGAGCAGAGCTGACTGCGACGCTGTCGCTGCGGGGAGCAAGAGGCTGGGGCTGGGAGTCTTTGGCTGGCTCAATAAGTTGTCTGGAGCCAGAGTGGGGCAGGAAGCTTAAGTCCGGGAGATGGGTTTGTGGCCAAATATTTTCCCTCCCTGAAAAACCTGGGCTCCCAAGGGAACCGGCATTCAGCTCAATAAAATGTGGGGGACCCCGGATGTCAAATGTCAACTATCAGCGTGCCTTAGTTTCTCGTCTTCCTCTAGTTCAGGATAGGAAGGGCTGTGAGGCCAGCAGCCGGGAAGCGGACCTTCTCAAAGAGCAGATAGCGTCCGGGACTGCTGTTTTCGGTTCCCCTGCCCGATACGTGTGACCTAATGAGGAGCCTCCGGAAACTCACAGTTGTTAGTCGCC